GGGGGGGGGGGTTGCTGTGAAAGTCAAGCACATATATAAGGCCCATTAAATAGAAAAACTTGCATATTTTTTATTTTGTATGTGACGCTTGCGTGCCTCTTTTCTTTTAATTGAGGTCCTTCACCGCCCTTGATCCCAGCATTTTAGGGAAAGGGAGACAGAGAAGGGGGAGCGGGTGACAGACAGACAGACAGGCAGATAGACGCAGAGACAGACAGGCGCAGAGACCAGCAGACAGAGAGAAAGAAAGAGAGATAAGAAAGGTAACAGAAAAACATTCGACAAAACAAACATAAAATCCTAGACGTGGACATCACCCAGTGCGTATAATCCCTGAATGACTGAGTGTGCATGGCGTTGTGATGCCCAAGCCAAAGGTATAAAACTACATGTAAATCTAAACGTATAATATATCATATTTGTCCTTTATAGTGATTTTGACATACTATAGTGATAATGGTTCCACTGCTGTTGTTTTGTTTTTGTTTTTCAAACCAATTATTTCCCTTTGAAAGCAACAATTGTATTGAAGTAGCAGTCAGAACCTGCAGTAAATTCATGTCTTTTGTTAGGCCAGCTCCACTCGACGTGAAATTCGAAGGCTTCAACTCTTTGTACCTGTCTTTGGATGAAGATTTATTTTATAGGGTCTACAGTAAAGTGGGGGGGGGGGCAAATTAAAACAAGATACAAAATGATTGAAAGGGTCCTGAAGCTTGCTCGCCTCATCTCAGGAGAATTATACCTAGAGCATTGACCTCAACACTTCACTCTCTTCTAAACCTCCCGTTCTCTTTTCGGAGACAGGAATAGGAGCACAATCTATGATTTATCTTATGATGAACCCATAAAAGGAAGGGACAAAACTGGCCAAAAAAGTGGGGAAACCGAGTAAGACAACCAATCATTTACGACTATTTAACACAGAGAACAATGACAGACCTTACAAACTAGATACATGACTTTGTTCCTCTTCAGTTGAAACGCAGCTTACAAATGCCATGGTTATGGCAATTTTTTTTCTCTTATTATGGACAGAAAGCAAAAGCTGGCAAGAAATAGAGTTAAATGAATGCATCCATCAACTTTAGCCTGAGCTAACAGGAACCTGGAGAAAGAGAACCTAAAAACACACAGGAGAAGGACAATGAAGATGACTATAGCAACAAGGAGTTGGAAGAGGGAATAAGGGGGGAATAAGGGGGGAAGAGGGAGGAGGAGGAGGAGGAGGAGGAGGAGGAGGATGAAGAGGATCAAGATAAGGAGGAGGAAGAAGTGTGAAGTGTGGGAGGCGGAGGTGGAGGAGGAGAAAGTGGGGGAGCACGGGGAAGAGAAAATAAATAAAGAAGAGGGTGGAGAGAGAGAGAGAAAGAAAGGGATGTGAAAGGAGAAAAATAACCTGATGTTAACTCACATAACTGGCACCAGCCGGTCCTGATGATTTTGCAGTCCCTGTCGAATGCCAGCGTGGCCGTTGTTTAGACACACTGCGGAGACAGCGCACTTGTCCTGATTTAGTTTTGATCCTCTGGCTTGATCCGTACATAGATCCTTTTCTGGACTCTTCGATAAGATAGGGAAGTTAGCATGGCAAAATGTCGGATTTGGTTCACTGAGAATGGGAGAGAAAAAATAACTGCTTGGTTTGACAACACTCGAAGGGAATGAATTTCGACCAGCCAGAGAAAATGTTGGAACTGAATTACTAAAATTTCTCTCTAGCCCTTCTGTGGGGTCGTAAGCATTTTGACAAGGTGAGTCAAAAAAGTCATTATGATTTTGGGTCATAAGTTGCATATTATTATCATTGGATATTCTTGTCTGAGTGATCCCATGATGGATACTACTTGTATCAAATGGCAGCGTAAAAAATGAGGTGGGCGAGCAGAAGCTGTCTGGTCGCGGCACTTCTCTGAAAGGTGACGATACTGATATATTGCCGCTATTTCCCTCGTCAACATGAAATAACAATCGGCGTGGAAGTCCTTGGTCAGCATCAGAGATACAGTCGTCTATCATCGGCAACTCGCATTGTTGGTTTCTTTCGGTATTACAAATCGTGGGGAAATCAAAAATGCTGCTCTCTGGAACGTTTAGCTCCCACCTGTTTTGTGTGGTCCCCAAATAGGGGCTTGCGGTTGGATCTTTCGTCAATAAACTGCTGTAGGAGGAGCACTCCTCGAGGTCACAAAGCTCTCTGAAAGACTGTTGTGTTGGGTGGATGCTTTTAGAGTCTCGATACATTTTACCTATGGGAACATTTGTTGCGTTCAGGTCATGTGAGCTGTCTTCATCAAAGCTGTGGTGCATCCCTGAAAGGGAAACATTTGGGTGAAAAGACTGGGAAGAAAGGTATGAACCGGTGGATGAACTGCGCCGACTTTGCATATCGGAATAAGTGGATACAAACGAGGTCGTCACCTCACTAGATTGGAAGACAGCACTTGGGTTAACAGCTGCAATTTCCACGGCCTGCACCTTGTTCTGACTTAGCTTTGAT